TTCAGACTCTTTTAACTCCATTTCCTGACCCGTTTGTGGAAGTGGGTGCACCCATTTGTTGAAGTGATGTTAACCCGTTTGTTGAAGTGGTTCTAACCCATTTGCCTAAGTGGTTCATAACATATTATTTGCCGAAGAGGTGCACTAACATATTATCCGGATTTTGCTAAAGCGACTCATTGCCCAGCTCTAGTATGCGGGGCTTGCTGTGACAAAACATTGAGATCGCTCAGATCATAAAGGATGCATAATGACTTAAGAGACAGGGAAACGCGCTTATTAACAAGGTAACGTGACAATATAAATAGATTCTAAAACGTTATTATCCTTTTAGTGGCAACACCACGTTTGAAACCAGGAAAATGGACTGAGCTCCGAATTTTTATCCATGTAAATGATTCGTGCACCTTCATTTTTTTGTTTTTTGTTGTTTTTTAAAGCTAATTTGCTGGTGATCTTTTCGTTGAATGGAGCATCCTCCATAATGAATCATTCATGATTAAAATATCTTTTTTGCTGTGCATCCGCAATTAGATAGAAAAAGTTCTCTTCTTGATATGGTCACAGTTACTTAACAGAGAGCTTATCTTTACGTAATTCAGAATTAAAGCGAATTTCCAATAAGTATTTTATACGACACACTGCTACAGTGAAGAACAAACTTTGGATTCCGATTTAAAACTGCATCTACTCATAGATACAATACAGAGGCGTTTTCTTCATTTCTCGTCTGATTTCCACACACTGAACACAAGTGCACACAAGACCCAGTTCACGTGCTCCAAACTTCGTTCAAATGTAGGCCCTACACATTGCACACTATACACTACACACGACTCACACAATCTGAGCCCACTGACATAATCACTTACTGAAGAAAACAGACACAGCCGATGGGAAAAAAGAGGGGTGGGGTGGGGGAGGGTGGGTGTCGGCGAGCTCAGTCTACGCTTTGATCTAGAGCCGCCAGGGTATGCAACTAGGTCAAAGGTCAAGCCATGCCTAGGTACGCCCCACAGAGCGGCTTCAGCCCCCGAGCCTAATAGAACCATCAGTTCCTTTGTCTCGGACTTAAGCCACGCAAGGTCAGTACCCCAGTGTCATCCAGTCTGTGAAAACCTAAGCGCCGGTGCTTAAGGGGCAAACCAATGAAATTTCATTCTCTCAGAAGGAAGAAACGCCTGATTGGCTGGAGCTACAGTTGAAGTGTATAGTAGTAGACACACAGACCAATCAGATCAATTTTTGAGTTATTGTGCCTAAGAAGTTTTGTTTGGGTGTTCGAGGTGTTTATTGCTTTTTATCTGAATACATTACATATTATGTTTTGTCTCTTTACAAATTAATGTGTGTGAATTGTTCTATTTTGATGTTAGTGGTGGTTGTTTGGGGGGAGCTCTGGTGTGGTTTGTTCCTTCTTTCCTATCCCAACATCTATCGTCCTTATCTCTCCTTCTTTTTTTGTGTATATTACTCTCTTGTAACACATCTA